TTTTGCCTTACCAGTTTTCTCAAAGGAGCTATATCTCTGAGGAAAGCAAGGTAAGATTTACATGTTCTGTTAGAATGTCTTTTTCAAATGCGTTCTTAGGTTACACTATGAGTCTTTAGGTTCTGTGAAAGAGTTAAATGTGTGAGCTGAAGCTTCTGCAACAGAATTGGCAGGGGGAGCCTTGGGTGAGGCCTGGAAGGAGTCCTGTGCAGCCTAGGTAGTGAGGTCAAAGGTCAAGGGAGAAATGCTGCCGGCAGGTATCCTACCAAGGAAGGCCACTGACAAGAGTGGGTTTGAGGGACTTGAGGCTTTAGGACTTTGGCCTCCTGTGCTGTCTGTTGCTGTGTGACCTCATTTCCTGGCCCCTTGCAAACGAGGAGCATAAAACGCTGCCAACCATTTTATTGTGCTCACGGCTCCTGGGTCAGGAAGTCAGGCGAAGCTGGCTTCTGCCTCACAGTGTGTGGGACTTGAGCCGGGAACGCCAGAAGGCGTGAAGTGACTCAACAGCTGGGAGCTGGGATGATCTCAAGGCTTGCTCTCTCACGCGTCTGGGGGTTCACACCAGCCGTGCCCCGGGCCTCTGTGGGGGCCGTGGGTAGGAACGGCTCACGAGGCTTTTCCATGTGGTCTCCCTGCTTCTTCACGGCATGTCGACTGGGTTCCTAGAGAAGCAGGCCGAAGCTGCAACCCTTCTCCTGATCTAGCCCAGGAAGTCATGTGGGAAGCCCCACCCAGACTCCAGGGGGAGGAACATAGACCCCACCTCTCCCTGGGGGGGGATCTGCTTCTCACTGACACAGGGGTCTGTGGGGTGGGGCATTGGCTGTGGCCGTTTTTGGAAAATACAATAGGCCACAACTTTTGACGACATAATCAATTGGCAGAGTTCAAAACACATCCTTGCTGTCTGAAGGCACATATGATAAACACCCTCAGCTGGCCCAGCGGGTTGGGGCGCCAGCCTCGTTCTGACCCCAGCACCTGCACTGTCTCCTTCGCTCTTTGCCTCTTTTCTGTTCTCACCACAGGAAGCTCTTCTTCACTCAGAAGCCTTCGAGCACATTGTTCCCTCTGCCTGGACTGCTCTTCCCCTCTGAGTACGGCTCGTCCCAGCAGGAGGGATCAAAGCAGAACTGTTTTCTGTTTTAAACCTCTGGGCCCTGTCTCTCCGACCTGTCACATCTGCATGGAGCGCACGAGTGACCAAGCTGCATGCTTTTCCTTGTTCATGCTGTGCACCCCTGAGCCCCTGGCCCTGACATAAGGATGTGGAGAAGGGTAGCATTCCAAATAACGCAACCCTTTTACCCTTCCAGAGTCCGTGCAGCAGGAAGAGGGAAATGAGGAAGACAGGCCCTGGCAGCCGTGGTGTCACTACATGCTGGCTGCTTCTGCCACAGGAGATGCCAAGTCCCATGGGCAGTTCTTTCTCTCAGTAGGAACACTTGCAGCTGCAACTCAAATGCCCCCACCTCTGCGAGTGACTGCCTGGTCTCCATTGGTGCAAAGCAGCTGTTTAAGGAAGTGAAGGCTTCAACTGAAGCCTCAGTTATCTCTCAGGGACACCTGGGGCCAAAGAGCAGGCCAATCACTTTTACACACATGCGAGGGACTTTTCCCTGGAACCAGTATGAGTTCCCTACTTGAAACATTTAAATTCTTCCCTCAAGCAGCAACCTCAATACTGACAGTTTTATCTTCTCCAAAGAAGCACTTTGTTATAATCCAGGCATTAGCAAACTTTTTCTGCAAAGGGCCAGCTAGCAAATATTTTGGGTTTTGTGGGCCATATGATCTGTGTTGCAGCTACTCAGATCTGCTGGGGCTGCATGGAAGGAGCAGACGCAATACATAAATGATGGGTGCGGCTGCGCTAAAATTAAACTTCATTTATGGACCCTGAAATTTACATTAACATAATTTTCATATGTTGTGAACGATTCCTTTGATTTGTTTTCAACCCTTTAAAAAGTAAAAACTAATCTTATCTCATGAACTATACAAAACCAGGCTGCTGGCCCTAACAATTTAACTCCTTACTCTGGAATACTCAGTTCACTCTAACTTAGAGTTTAAATCATCAGATCAAAGGCTCTGCCAGTAACAACCTGGCCTGATGGCAGTGCTTTTCCAGCATGTCTACCAGACCATCATCCTCTCCGCTTTGTTAACTATTATTACCTTCCTCAAATCTCAATATGGTAGTTCTATTTTTAACTTTTTGAAGAAACTCTATATTGTTTTCTAAAATGTTTTACCAGTTTATATTTCCACCAACATGTCCCTTTTCTCCACATTCTTATCAACACTTGTTATCTCTTGTCTTTTTGCTAACAGACATCCTAAAAGATATGAGGGTATGATATAATGAGTTATAAGAAATACCTATTTGGTCATTCATACAACAAAATATGTATTTCCCAGGTATATTTGCTCTGAATCCCCAGCTCCTGAAAACACCGCACAGTCTTAAAGGTGAAACAGGTGTCTGGTCATGTTAATGAGAGACTTTTAGACCCCACCCAAGGGTGGGGGCTGGAGGCTGCATCAGCCAGTGGCCAATAATTCAGTCAGTCTGACTATGCAATGAAGCCCTCCCGAAACCCCCCAGATGAGCCTTTTGCTCTCCCCGCTCTGCTGTGCTGTTCGGTCGGATCCCCACTTCTTGGTCAGAGAGAGCTTCTAAGCTTGGAGAGCCAGAACTGAGGCACGGGTAACTGCCAGGGACTTGCAACTGGCATCTGGACTGGGGGCTGGAAGGCAGTCTTGTAGGATGGAGCCCATGACCTGGGAATCTGGTGCTGTGCCCGGGCAGATAGCATCAGAACTGAGTTGAGTTCTCCAACACCCTGCTGGTGTTCAAGAATTGCTTGGTGTTAGTATGCGTGGGAAGTCCCTCTCCTACATACATACACACATTAGAATCAGGTCTGGGAACCTGAACGGAGTTATACTATTACTGCTGTGTATACTAATATTGTTACTGTTGTACATATACGTAGGGAAAAAATACACCATTGCATTTGGTGTCAGGTGAGTGGGAATCACTGGGGGGCTGTCTCCTTGTGGTTTTGATCTGCATGTCCCTGATGGTCAGTGCTGTTGAGCATCTTTCATATGCTATTGGCCATTTTTTATGTCTCCTTTGGAGAAATGTCTATTCAGGCCCTTTGCCCATTTTAAAAATCAGGCTATTTGTCTTTCAGCTATTGAGTTGTTTGAGCTATTTCTATTGAGTTCTTATCAGATGTATGGTTTGCAAATATTTTCTCCCATTCTGTAGGCAGCCATTCTGTTTTGTTGAGGGTTTCCTTGGCTCTGCAGACGCTCTTCAGCTCCATGTGGTCCTGGTTGTTTGCCTGCGCCTTAGAGTCATATCGAAAAACTCATTGCCAAGACCAAGACCGAAGGCAAGAGGAATTCCCCCTAAGTTTTCTTCCGGCGTGTCATAGTCCCGGGTCTTACATTTAAGTCTTTAATCCATTTTGAGTTGATTTCTGTGGACGGTATAAGATAAGGGTCCAACCCCATTCTTTTGCATGTGACTATTTTTTAAGCCTTAAAAAAGAAGGACATCTTGCCATTTGCAACCACAGGGATGGAGCTGGAGGACATTATGCTCAGTGAAATAAGCCAGACACAGAAAGACAAATGCCACACAATCTCACTTACATGTGGGATCTAAAACAATCGAACTCATAGGAGCAGAGAGCAGAAAGGTGATCTGCAGGTGTTGGAGGGAGGGAGAAATGGGGAGGTGATGGTCAAAGGGTGCAAAGTTTCAGTTATGTAGGAAAAATAAGTTATGGAAATCTACTATATAGTATAGTATCTACAGTTAACAATACTGTGTCATATACTTTAATTTGTAAGAGGATAGATACTATGTTAAGTGTTCTTACCACCCCCACACAAAATAATGGCAAAATGGGCAGGAGAGAATGCTGGAAGGTGATGGATATGTCCATTGTCTTGATGGAAGGGAGAGTTTCAAAGCACATACTCACCATCATGCCTGCCAGGTTGTTACATGAAATGTGTACATGTTTTTTACATGCCAATCATACTTTAATAAAGTGATTTTTTAAAAATCTCAGTGTGAATCTCAATCTTTGGAAAAGCCTTTCAAGAACCTTAGCTGGAATTAAATTCTGTTTTTGCCTAAGTTCCTGTGCTTTTGGTACTTATAATTTGTATTTATATCTTTATTTGCACAATCATGTTATTACCATCCATATCTCCTACAGGACTGTAAGCATCAGAAGAGCAGAAACCAGATCTTTTCCACCATCCATTATATCCCATCTCTAACAAAGTGCCTGATGCCTAACGGGGATTCCATAAATATGTGATGAATGAATGAAATCTAGCTTCTTTTTGTCTGTTTCGCTCATGCTCTGTAGAGAAGCAGAGCTCCAGAAAGAATGGCACTTAAAAAGTCAGGCGGCTGCAGGGGAATTTCTTGCTTGCGTCTTAAAGTGGATGCAGCTAGAACTGAACTCAGAACTCACAGGTGGAGAAGGGTATGAGTGGCAGTAGGCCATCACCTCCCACATGCTAAAAGCTTGACCTCTATTAATCAGTTTATTGTTGCTCAGAGTTCCCCCTATTTTATACTACTTACCACAATTGTAGTTAGACATTTATTTGTCTGCATTGGATTACTGTCTGTCTTTCCTACATGACAGGAAGGGCTATGTACATTTTGATCCCAAACTTGTCAAAACGAGAAGTTGTTTTAAGATAAATATAGAACTAGAAATTGTATTAGATAAGATAAATGAGCTGGGGAATGAGTCCAGTAGGCACATTTATTTGGAGCACAGTTTTTTGTTCACCACTATTTTCAGGTCTAGTTCTTACATTGCCAGATTAATGTAACTGGGTATGACGCTCTGACAGGAGCTTAGAATATGTTTAGAGCATATTGTTTAAGAATAATGCAGAGAAAGGCTGATAACTTATCATTCATTCAGCAAATACTTATTGAGAAATGCAAGATTACAAAAATATGGTACTTGCCTTAAAGAAGCCCTATGTGGGATAACGCAGATCACTTCCCTGTCCCATCCTTCCAGCAAACTTGGCCTTCTTTTGATTCTGCAAATTAGAATTCAGTTTAGGTCAAATCTGGATTAATCCAAGGAGCCCATGACGGACAAGGAAGTCTGCACGGGCTTCTGGCCCTCTCTCTGTGCCTGAGACATCAGCATGACTGAGGGTGACCGTCACTGTCCTGGATTCTGCACAGCCTGAGGACCCTCTTTTTCTGTCCCTGTACGGACTGAGTCTCAGCAAAGAGAAGTGACCTCAGCTCTGCACGAGGGATCCCGTGCCAGTGAGGAAAGGAGGACGGAGGGCTGCTGGCTCACCAGCTGGACAGCTTGGTTTCATCCCAGCCCAGCCACACACTCCTTGCATAGCCTCAGGCAAGTGACTTTTCTCCCTCTGGACCTTAATTTCCTATAAGAAAAAGAAAATGACAAAATAGGACAAATGACCTTTCCCATCTTTTTCAGGTGCACCTCTCACTCGCCATCACTGCACGTCTGTAGTTGAAGAACCACGGCAAATGCTAAGATCCACGGTTCTTAATTTAATAACCATCTTGTTTTATTAAACTTAATTTCTTAAGGTTTCCAAAAAAGAGGAAGTTCAGCTCCTTTATTAGGTCTCTGGCTGAAAACAAATGAAAATTACCAGGCTGTAAAGCATTAAATGGCAGTGAAATTCTTCAGGAAAAGGAAAGCTGCACCCTGATTCTGAGGACCCTTTGGGGGCATTCTCTGTGGATGCGCCGCGATCAGAGAGGAGGCAGAGGGGCAGGAGTTTGGCATATCAGGACAGTGACACTTACAAGTGTCTGCTGGAGGCCAGGCTCTGTCCAGTGAGTATAGGTTCTTGTGTACTGCCCTGTTTAATCCTCTCCACAACACAAGGTCATTCACACAGAAAATGAAACGAGTTTTCTTCTACCAGGCCAGCAAAGAGCAGGACACTTAGCATCAGGGTGAAAGTGCTGAGGGAGGAACTGAGAGTGCATTTTTATGAGTCCATGGTTCTGTGACGAAACGCTGGTGTTTATTTTATTCACCAAAGGCTTTCTGGAAGTCTTGGTTCATGGGAATGTCATTAGCTATCCCAAGTCACTGCTGCCTAATCCCTATGTTAACTGTGAAAGATAATGGAGAGGAATCAGGTGGCCCTACAAGGGAGAGAAAGGCCTGAACAAGCAGGTGGACAGGGGTATGTGTTTCGTCTAGATTTATTAGCCCAGGGGGTGGTTCGTGCGGCTGTTAAGTGGGGAGTGATTTGGAAGAGTGAGTTGAGGAAAATTGATTCAAGGATTTTATTCCCAGATAAAGTCACTGTTCCTGTTTGTAGGGGACCCGGACGCTGGACGGTGAGTGAGTGGAGGTGTCGGGTATGATGAAAGGTAGGGCGTGCTCTGGGCAGCACAGGGCAGAGAGAGGGTGCAGGGCTCGCGGCGGGGAGCAGCGGAGGTTGCTTGGGCCGAGGAGGGTGGGAGAGGAGTGCAGGAAGGAGCAAGAGGTCCGGGGCCGGAGGGAAGGGGCGCCGACTCTCCCTTCAGCTCCTCTGCCTGGGTCTCTCGGATTCCTCAAGATCGGCACTTCCCACCTTTGGAGGAAAACAAGTTCAGCCCCACTGTATTCTAAACGCTGATTTTGTTGTAGAATAAAATGGAGTTGCACTTATTTTAATTCCGTCACAGAATCAAAATGACGCTCCCCTAGAAGGATAAACCCAGGGGGGACCTGAAACCTGAGAATCATCCTTGATTCCTTCCCTGACTCCTGACATTTGCAGAAGGACATGTACCAAGCCCCTAACACTCACCAGATTCTGTTCCGCATTAGGGGGAAGCTCCTGGGGGCTCCCCACCCCCCGTTCTAGGGGAGGGAGACAGACAATGAACAAAATAAAAACCAAAGTGACCCAGAACGACAGAAGGTGGAAAGTGCCAAGAAGAACAATCCGGCTGTCAGCGCTGTAAGGATCGCCGGGTGGGGCAGGCGGGTGTAAGGACCGTGGTCATGGACGGCTTCGTGGAGATACATTTGAACCAAGATGGAAGGAGTGGAGGGGTTGAATCAAGTCTTCAAACATCCTGGGGAAAATCGTTTCAGGCAGAAGGAGCAGAGGGGCCAAGAGCATGGCTTGTGTTTTCAAGGAACCGCCGAGAGGTCAGTGTGTCTGGACCACGTGAAGGAGTCGGGGGCAGAGGGGCTGGGGAGGGGGGCCAGGCTCTGCAGCATCTGGGACCTGCGCTCTGAGCAGTGAGAGGAGCCACTGGCGGGTTCCGAGCAGAGAAACGACACAGGAAGTCCTGACACGCCTACTTCCAAAATCTTTCTCGGGCACCTCCTCCTGCCACCACCCTGGTCTGAACCACCACCAGCTTTTGCTGGACCTCTTGCCCGTCCCATACCTGCCTTTCACGTTGTGCTACTCACCCCCCCCCACCTCACCCCCTGCCCCCCATGGTCTTTGAGATGTACATGGGGCTATGGGACACCCCTGCTTACCATGTTTCAGTGACTTCCCCTTGCGCCTTGAGCAAAATCTAAATTCCTCCTCACCACACGTAGTCAATTTTCTCCCCTTCTTCCCTGCTACCGCCAGAGGAGCCTCCTCTCCGCTCCTCGGATGCCCGACTCTCTCTGCCTTGAGCTCTTGGGCCGACCTGGAGCAGCCCTCCCCCCAGGGCTTCAGAGACGGGTCCCTGAAGTTCTTAGAGCTCATCAAAGGCACCTCTTCCTGAGGGACGCCCACTCCCCCTATCCCTCCTTCACTTTCTGTCAGAGCGCCTAGTCGCCCCTGCACATCACCTGCAAGAATGTGTTTATTTGTGTGCCTGCTTTTTAAGTTATCTGTTCCTCCTGTTGCCCTGGGTGCTCCCTGAGGGAAGGACCCAGCTGGCTCCCCTAAGTCGTGGCTGTGCCCCCAGAGCCTCCCGCGGTGTCGACACATTGCCATGGGCACCAGGGAAAAATGCCTGAATGAGTAAATGAAAGGAAGAGAGAGGATCATAGATTTAGACTCTGAGGTGACATACATGTATATTTCTGTCTTAGTTTTGTTTGGCAGAAAGACAGAAATGAGTGGGATGAAAAGGAGAGAGGGGGCCCCCCCAAAAATGACTCAGGGAGCAGGTCTGATAGAGCCAGAGAAATGACTCAGAGTTAATCAGATGAAGCCACAGGGTCCAAGAGTGACTCAGGAAATGTCCAGGGTCCCCCACCGGATAAGAAACATGAGAGGCACGGGCACAGCACAGCCCTGTCCCCATTTCGCCAGTCGGAACAAGCCTAGAGAGCTGACGGCTGCCAATCAAGGCCCTCACCGCCCTGCCAGAACCACATCGCAGCAGCCTCGGAACGAGCACCCCTCCTGTCCTGCTGAGCACACCAAAACTGGCTTCGCTTCCACGGCTTTGGTCTCTGGTCTCACTGCAGCTGACTCCCTGCGACACCGAGCCGAGTCCTTTCCTTCCCAACAGTTTGGGCTGCGAAAACAGTCTCTGGCTGGCCTAAACAACCAACATTTATTTCTTACCATCTAGAGGCTGGGCAGTCCGAGATCAAGACCCCGGCAGATCTGGTGTCTGCTGGAATCCACTTCCCAGTTTGCAGACAGCCGTCTTCTCTTTGTGCTCACTTGGCCGAGAGAAAAATAATCTCCTTGCGTCTGTTCTTCACAAGGGCACGAATGTCATTCAGGAGGCCTCTGCCCTCATGACCTCAGTCCCTCCCGAACACCCCACCCCATGATTCCATCACACTGTGGGTTAGGGCTTCACGGGTGAATTTAGGGGCATAGGCATTCTGTTCACAACGATACATATATGAGTTGTATTACTAGGATGGAGGAGGTAAGCTTCGTAAGTAACAAAGACCATAAATGTATAAGCTGTTTTAAACACTCTCCCAAAGGTATAATATGAATGCTTGAAGAAGTGACATTATTTTCCTTCCTAAAATGTTATTTTCAGTGTATTCATTTCTCCTTAAATTGTTCTGCATTTATTCCCGTCCCCATGGGAACCTGCAGGGGGACTTTCCCTATTTCCCCCACCCCTTTGGGCTTCAGAATGGACAGTAAGGGAGTCTTCAAGAGCTGCGGCAGCATTTCAATGCTGTTCGTGAGGTAGTTGAAGGCAGCAAATGTTTCCTGGGACTCTGCTTAGTGGGAGAGGCTATGTGCTCTGTGAAAGAAAGAGGTGAACCGGCTCCGTTGTTCGCCAGGAGAAGGGGCCGCTGGCTGGGTCATGTCCGACGCCGTGGGGGAAGCAGGAGAGCCGCTCCGCACAAGCGCTCCGCGATTAAACAGAGACGTCTAAACTTCTCTGGAGAGACAATACCTCAGTTGTCCTGTCGTTGGCCGGCAAGGGGGGAGGAAGGAAAAGTCTAGAAGGAATCTCTCATCAAGTGTCATTTTCCCATTTCACTTCAAAAGCATCATGAAGCATTGGAACACACAAGGAAATAAAGAAGAAAAGAAGGAAACCTCAGAAAAGTAAAAAATACAGTCTGCCCAGTGCTAATGTTCCTGTACAAAGGGTGGATGGGGATCTAGGTAAAGAAAACTGTGAACGAGGTGAGAAAAGGAAATCTCTCAACATTTGTCATCTTAGTTTTCCCAGATAAAAGGGGTTGAAGCGTCACCTCTGTGGCACTTCAGAGATCTCACCCGAGAGGCTCCCAGGAGCGCGGGGGGTCAGGAGAGGTGCTGGCATCCAGGTGAGGCCTGGCCACGTGCCTGGGGCACTGCACGGGTAGGAAAGCTGATGACACCGAAGCCCGCGTGGTGGGTCTAGGACTGGGGCTTCATCAACAGGTTTCCAGCTATCTGGAGCCCTTTAAAAATAAACCAAATCCTTTGAAAATATGTCTCGACTACGTGAAAGGGAAACGTAACTCCCAGGGACCTGCAAACTCCCTTTTCTCCTGCCTTTTCCCACCGCATTTCGCACTGCAGGTGCTCCTTGCCGTTTCTCTCCCCCGAGATCCTCGGGTCCTCTTTGTTGTCCTCGCCTTCTTCATTTCCTCTTGATCCTGCACCCTGTAATCCCAAGAATGATAGGAAGAACCTCTCTTCCAGGGTGGGGGAGAACCCTTAAAAACTAATTATTTCCATCTGGTCACATGCTCATGAATAGAATCTATAGAACTCAATTCTATCAGAGACATAGAATCCTAAGACGTGAGAAGCAGAAGGAAATACAGGTCCTCAGTACAATGCGCTCACTTTACAGACGAGAAGTCTTGGGCATGTAGAGGGGAGGCCAGAGCTCCTCCCCAGGGCCTGGAGCCTGTAAGGGAAGTGGTGTGTTCATCCTGTAACAACAGCTAGACTCCCTTGAATGAGTCTCAGAACTTAATTTCCTTCTATTAAATTCCTGTCCCCAGAAGATTCTGTCGTGTCACAGTGGGATCACAGTGCTACCTTAAAGATTCTCCTCATAAAGACAGAATACATTTTTTCCCTTCTATTTTTATGTTGGAATATGGTAATACGTTTTTAAAAACCTTCCTTATTGGCATTTTTATTGATTCTTTCCCCAACAACCCAAAATAATTAAATGCATAATAAGGAGCTAAATGTATAGAATCATCCAAATGCTTATTCTTGCTATACTCTGCCAAATTTAAAAACTTTCCTTTAGCAAAGTGAAATCTGCAGGCAGAAGAGTTGAGAACAAATGGTAGTCACAAGATGCCTACACGGCAACCTAGACGTTTGCATGCATCGATCCACTCGGGCCTTACCACACTCCTGCCAGGGAGGTGCCTCATGATCCCGTCCCACTGGTTTGGAGAGGTGAGGCACTGAGTCAGAAGGCAGGACCAGCACCCAAGCCCAGGTATGGGACAATTAATGTCTGAGCTCTCTGTCTCTCCATTTTGCTCATCAGAAGACAAAATACATTGATTTGAGGGTGTGGTCAGTTTACATCTCATTCTGTTGGACACGATGAGATGGAGCAGTTTCCCCTGGACATCGAGCCTTGAGGGGGGCTTGATATCAGGGGACTCTTTCCTCTGGGCTCCAAGAAGCCTCATCAGGCAGTGTGGATGGGGTAGGTCGGTCGCAGTGCCTCCAGTGACAGTTCCAACATCTTAATTCCTGCCAGGCAGTTTTGATCATTCCTCCTGTTTCTCCAGTACCTGCTCAGCATCCTTCTGGATTCTCAATGAGCAGCTAAGTCACTGCTCCCTCAGTAGCTCATAGGGTGTCTAGAGTCGTCCACACACGCGCGCACACACCACAATTTGACTTTTGCTTCACTATTCACTGTCGGCGTCTTTCTGGTTCAAGTACTAACATAAAACTGTCTTCACATTCTTTTAATGATTATTACAATTTGTCTTGTCCATTAACTTTTAATTATTGTTACAGATAAATAGGACTACAGTCACTAGTAAATAACTGGACTCTAATCAGGAACACAGGCATAATGTGATTTCTCTTGCTCTCTCGTAAGCCTATGGAGGAATCCGAATAGTGGTAGCAATCTTTCATTCAGGTTCATGTGTTTTCCTGGAACTCCTTTGCAGACATGAAGCCTTAACCCAGCGATGGCCCACCAGGAAGGATTTCAGGCTTGGTCGTGGCCATCTATGCTCACGGCACAGCGCCCATAGCTCCTTCATCTGCATTTCTACCCCGATCTCTCACCCAAGGCTTCAGTGCTGAACTTCAGAGTGCTTTGGGGGCATTGATTGCTTTAGCTGTCCTTCCACCAGAGAAAACTGAGCAAATGTAGAACTCAGCTCCTTGTTCTAGAACTGTGTTCAGTAGATGGTGGACAGCCACACGTACCTATTAGGCATGTGGGATGCAGCTCGTCCAAACTGAGACGTACTGTAAGTGTAACACACACTCGACTTCAAGACTGAGTACAAGAAAAAGAGGGCAAAATATCTCATTAATGACTTTTATATTAATTACATGCTGAAATGATAACATTTCATATGTATACAATCAAATAACAGATATTACTAGAAAGAATTTCACCTGTTTCTTATTACTTTTTAAAATACGTGTGTGTCCTGTACATTATTCTGGCTAGTCTGCACTAACATAAAAACTGGAGAGAACTGTCTAATCCCATCCCTCATGTTATGAGTGGCGAGTGATAATAACAACTCATGACTGAGTACGCTGTGCACGCCTGTAATGCGTGTCAGCACTTACATGCATTGTTCAATCTTTCCTGCAGTCCTCTGAGGGAGCACCATGTACAACCACTTTTGAGATCTCTACGGGAGGGAAGTGACCTGTCCGGTGTCACACAGCCTATAACTTGGATGCCCTGCATGACTTCAGTTCTACAAGACAGTTGCTGTGTGCAGTCTCCGTGGTTCTCCCACCGAATCCACCTTTCTCTGATGTCCACTGTGCTGTGCGGTTATGCTTCCACTATTTTGGCTCCCAATGTTGATCTCATTTTCTCTTTGAAAAGAACATATGCCCAGTTTAGAGGAAAAGGTCATTCCCTTGGAGTAGGGACCTCTACAATTACTGCAGAATCTATTTTCTTAACTATCCAAGCAAAGAAAAATCGCAGAATGTGAGACTTTAATGAAGAGAGTTTCTGTTCTGCCTAAAACTGCATTCTGTCATGGCAACTCATGTGCACCCGTGCATCCACATGTGCACATTCACACTCATGGCACATCTCTCTCCCTGGATTCAAGATATGCACAGGGCAGTCGCATCCTTAGACTTGGTCTCCAAAGTTAGTTGAAGGGTGAAAATAACATACGGGCAAAAATTATAGTGTCAATAAATGTCCTCATAAAGGACAACACTGGAAACCAGCATGCCATCTCAGAATAAACTCAGCTCAGTCGATTTCTTCTCCAGCTTAGAATGGATTGTGGCTGCGTTGCTTGAGTATCAGAAGATGGTGCTTATTTATATTGAGGGGACATGTGCTATTACAATGCATCATTTTAGACCCTAAGTGATGACGTGCTCAGCACAATGAGATGTTCATTTCAGGAGAAGTACACCACAGCTGAGAGCAAATGAGGGGATGAAATTCATTCCTCCCTTCCCATGCTAATTCTAGGACATACAGTCATAGAGTGGAAGGAAGGCAGAATTGCCCTGTGTATTTCAATTAGTGTTTTTCTCTATGTATTTACAAGCATATAAAATTGAATTTGTGCAAGTTAAACCAAGATGCACGTTACCTCCCAGCTCCAGGTAAATAATATTGGCTTCTTATGGGCCTATCATGCATGAAGGTACTCAAGCAGGGAATATTCATGAGAGCAGGGTGGAAAGTATTTATTTTTGGTGGGCCTGAAGAATTCATGAGTTTGGGCGCTCTTCTGTGAATAGTGTGAATGGAGTGACCAAGTGTCCTCTGTGATTCAGAGGAGTCAGAGATGAATTAGGACACCATTTCTTTCCTTAAGCTACTCAGAAATTTTGAAGGTTTTGCTCATTAAAAAAAGAATTACCCAGGATCACTATGGGGACTGTCCCTAAGGGTCAGATGAATAGTTTACATTTTATCATATTGTCATTATTTAAAAAAAAAAAAAGAAAGAGGAAGCAGAGGCTAGGAGGAAAAGAGATGTTGGGAAACTTTTAGTACTAGGTGGATCCTACACAAAGACAGTGTGGCAGAATGGAGAATGTCTGGGCTTTGGAGAAGGCACCACACAGGTATTGTGAGAACTGAAATGAGAAAGGTGGGAAACCAGAATGTCAAACTGTGTTGTTTTGCCTTCTAAACCATTTGGGTTTTAAACTGCATGAGACAGAAGCAGACAAGACAACTAAATCTCTTAATGAACTATATTAATCTTATAATGGAATCTGCTCTTTTGGTAACTTTGCTGTGTAACTTTCCAAAAGTCTAATAAAATTCATCTTGACCAGTCATCTCATTTATTAGACTATGAAATGAGGCTTAGGGAAGGGCCATCAAATTTCCAGTTTATTTGCCAGATAAATGTCTACCTTTTTTTTTTTGCGCTTCATTTTCCAGGAAGAGCATGATATTTTGCTTTGTTTTAAAAAGCTAATCGGCTAACCCATTTCAAAGGCTCCTCGTTGACTTTGTATTCTTAATCTGGAGTTTATTGTATTACTGGTGCCCACATGAAAGAACATCTACATCAACTTTGTACCTTCTTCTGTTTTCTCTCCTCAAGGTTTTATGACCCAGGCTGCCTTCTGATCAGAAAGATACTGGAAGCTGTAAACCACACAAAGCCAGGCTTTGTCACCACCCGAGTGTGCAGAAGGACACTAGCCCTGAGCGTGTGCCACCTCATGCCCCTATTACATGCTCTTGCATTTTTCGCACTCTGCTTTTTGGGGTCCATCCCTGGATGGGGGACAGAAAAGCCAGACAAAAGCCCGGCTGCCCGGGGCTCGCTGCCCATACACAGAGCTGAGCTGCTGCGCTCCTGCAGGCGTGCGTGTTTGGAGTATGTGGATTGCACTCTCTGCTTTAGCAGGTATGTCCCAGGCACATGTGCTGCCCTGAGCCCTGGCGGTGTGGCCCTGGGCGCACCTGCGAGGCCTGGGAGCAGAGCTGCTTCACCTCCCGTCGCCCGTAGCCCAAGTGTGGTCACATCCCCTCTCTAGTTTCCCTCCACACAGCTGACGCTGGCTGGTGTCCCCAGATAGCTATGTTATCAATGCCCAGGACTTTTTTCGATTAAAAAAATATTTTAAAAACATTTGAAAGAAAGTATATTGCATTTTTCTGATTATCAAAGAAGACATAGTGTAGAAGAATTTGACAAATACTGAAAAGTGCAAGTAAAAAAAACAAGTTTGAACTATGGCTCTGCCATTTAGAGCTAACCATTGTTAATTTTTGTGAGATTCCTCATAGATTTCTAATCCTGTCCACAGGGCTTCTACAGTTGGAATGCTATTAAATATGCTATTAGGCATTCTGCCTTTTTCTCTTAATAATATTTTGTGAATATTTTCTCATTTAGTAGTCTATGAGACCATTTGTGTGTGTGTGTGTATGTGTGTGCGTGTATACACAATGCTCTCTAGCGGTTTCTTCCACATTTTAAACTTCCCTTGGAGAACTATCTGGGATTCCTGTAAAACATCAATCCCCCTCTCTAGAGCTCCCTCGAATCATCTGTTCTGATGTTTCACTCCTTACTCTATGGCTTCTTCGTGCTTAACTGCATTGTCTTCATATTTTATTTTTTATATCAAAGTTAAAAAAATAATAAAATAATGCAATGCTTATAGGAAAAGCAGTCATCATCTGTCATTTTACCTCCCAAGAATTAGCTGTCTCCAGAAAAGAGAATTTTTTGTTTTATTTCATCTACCAGGACTGTTTAGTTTTGTAAATTATAGAAATACAAGCTGTATTGGTTAGGAATAGGCTTATCGAATATAATGAAAAATACAAATTAGTAGTAGCTTAAACACTTTAACATTTGTTTTCTCAGGTAAAAGAAGCCTGAAGATACCCAGTCTTGGCTGTGTAAGCCCCGCATTCATCAGGGGCTCAGGAGCTGCTATTTTCCTGCCTCCCTGTGGCTTCCGTTTCTGAGGTTTCGAAATGCAGCTGCTGTTGCTCCTCAGTCCAGCAGGAAGGAGCCGGGAGCCAGAGGAAGACGGCGCTCTAGCCATATCCAGAATCCTGAGAGAGTCTTCCTGGAGGTTCCATAAAGCACATCTGTTTAAATTTCATTGTCCAGAACTCAGCCATGTGCTGGGAGGATGGGATTATAGTCATTTATTTGGGATCAATGCTCCTCTGAATAAAACTGGGCTTTACTATCCATGGAAGTAGATGAAGAATACTGGGTAGACAATCAGAAAATGTATTGCTTTATATAACTGAATATTTCAAGGGTTATCAATGGCTTCAGGTAGAGTTTGCTCAAGCTAATGACATCATTCAGACTTTTGTCCTGCTTCTCAGAGATTCTCCGGCTCATTCTTGTGCGTTGTTTCTAACCACAGACGGGGTTTCCCTAGGATGACGGAGGCAGCCTCAGCATTCCATGATGTTGTGTCCTTAGACATCACCAAAGAGAGAGAGATTCTTTCTGAGATCTCTCACAGCACAGAAAAAATATCTTCTTCCTGGACCCCTAGCAAAGTACGTATCATTGGCCCAAATTGGGCCAATTTGGATCAGTCATTATGACCAGATAGATGGTTTAGGCAAATCAAGTTCATCCCTAGGACTGGCCATGGGTTTCACATCCCTAAAATAATGACTGGCTGAATGGAAAGATGTGATTACTGTGCATGAAAATGGGTGCATATAGAAAAACCATCACTCACTACAGGTTTTCCCAAAATTACCTCCCTCTTTCTATGTAACATGCTTATGTAGCTACTTCTTCACTGTTGTCTTTTACTGACCTTCCGATATCATATTTTTAGTGCCTTTTGTGGTCACCTCTGCAACTTTAGAGAGCAAAATTAAACCTTCACTGATGATCGAGCGACCTCAGGGATGGACTTCTCTTAACTCCTATGTCGCATGATGAGGACATTAAACTTCCTCTGACCATTCACCACACCTTCCCATGTGTACCTACCAAACTTGGTCAGTTGCACCTTTATTCATATAATGTTGAGATCAAGAAATACACATTCTGACTATCCCAGTTAAGTCTTAGGTATCCATAGATTGGTCCTAGAAGTTCGAAACAGAAAACAACCTTTAAACCATTAGGAAATTATAAATATTGTCCTTGAAGACCCAAATGACATGCTACGTTACCCTTCCTTTCCAGATGGTCAAACAAACAAGTCTGTGCCACTCAAGTTTCTAAACAACAAACACCTTTACAATTTTGGTATGTTTTCTAAAATCTTATTTAAACTGATTCACTTATTTATTTATTTTTCCATAGAGATAACTTCTCCATGGTTAAACAGGCCACCTTGGACTAAATACTTCTAAAAGGAGTGGCATGGATACCTTACATTCAGACTGAGATTTTCAAATCTCTGCATCAGAGGATCCACGAGTTGGGGGAGTAACAGAGGTGATATTGAACCTTGCACCTGGGGCTGGGGTTCCTGCCTCAGCGTTCCTGGCAGACGGCACCCAGCCTGGGCTTTGGTACCTACAGTGCTAGATGGCTCCAGATGTTGAGCCAGTCCTGCACCAAGCTGAATCGTTTCTCTGTAATATCCTGGCCCCTGTTCTGCTTTCTCATGTGTCAAAAATCCAGCCTGATTATATTGTTTTCCTCTGCATAATAGCTCTCAAAATAGTAGGAGAGAGTTAAGTGCCCCATACATGTAATATCGTCAACCATTAATGTTTTTACATGGTTGGGGTTACTGCTATGATGTTTATTTCATGGTTGTTTACAACAAGGGCTTTGAACAAAAAAAACATCTTAGCTCCGGCCCTTTTTAGCCACGTCATGTCATCTCAAAACTAAGTTCCTGCACCTTTCTTAGCACAGTGACTAGCAAATACTAGGCACTCAATAAATGCTATGTAATAATAAAACAATGCCAACAACAATGATAATGCCATGAGCTCCATTTGCCCTTTCTGTGGGCCTTGGTAACTTTTGCACTGTGTCAAAATTATGGCCAGCCCCGTCCCCTTGAGCTGGCTCTGGATGCTTTGAGAAGAGGAATCCGCCTTATTTAGTACGGTACCACAGCTGAGCGCAGGGCCTGCTACATAGAAAACTAGCTGAACATCTGTGGGACGGATATTTGCCAACCTCTTGCTGTCCAGGTTGTTCTAGTTAAACAGGGAATCATAGTTCCACCCAGCACTGCCCATCCTATTATAAGTGCCCCTTATTATCTGTAGGAGACCCCAAAGTGACCCCACCTAGGTACCTGCATCCAGAGATGTCAGCTGCGCTCACCCATTCCTCTCTGCTCTGGCCATCTCCATTGCCTGCAGTGCTGGTTGGTGATGGCTCGCAGTGGCCACTGCCCCTCGGGAGACCACCAGTGCCTGTGCCCCGGAGGCTGGCTCTGCACGCCTGCCTCTCCAGGTGCAAGGACATGGACCCTCCCTGGGTCAGAGTCCGGCTTTATTAGTTGGGTCCTGAGCACAGAGTCTGGACTCATGCCCAGCACCTCACCGATCCCTCGTCAAGGCTCCTGACCTCTTCTCCCAAACCAGTGTGAGGGATTTGATAGGGCAAGAAGCCATTCATTCTGTATCTGCCCACTTTTCTCTTCTTCCCACTGCAGCTTCTGCCCTCATTAGAGCTTCATCTCCTAGTCACAGGAAAAAGCTTTATGAAAAGGACAAACTGACAGAGGGCAGGGGGGGACGGGCAGTGTGGGAGAAAGTGATTTGTTTATATTAGCTGAAGCCAGTCAACAATGTCCCATGAAATTTAATACTGAAAATGTCTCCACTAACACCCAATATCCTGAATATGGTGGTTATACAAGTCTATAAATTATTAAAACTCACAGAACTGCACACTACAAAATTGAATTTTGCCACATACAAATTTAGAAATGCATCATAAAATTTCAGTTGTGCCACAGTTTTGCCTGGCAGGTGACAGTCGTGATGTCTGTCTCATTGATTTGGCTCTTCTTGGAAGACTTTATTTTTTAGTTTTCCTTCCCGAAAGACTAAATATTGATTTGTGTGATTTTTATCGATAATAAAACATGAATTAGTTAATGGCCTTTTCAAACATAAGTAGATTAAACACAACAATACCAGGAAGACTAGAGGACAAAGAACAGCTGAGGACAAAAAAGGCCCAGGAGTCTCTTATCTGGCAGCGATAACTCTGCTCCGCCACCTTTTATCAGCCTCTGTTCTCTGCTGCGGGAGGCAGTTGGTTTTCCAGTGTTCAAACAGCAGGTTCATGCAGACTTTGCGACACAGCAATTTACTAAGAACGGCCCGTCGTGGGCTTACATGGCCTCGTGCTCTCGCTGCATCCTGTTAATTCCTTTGGAATGAACCGACTGCTGGGCAGCCTGTCCCAGGAGAGGCTGTCTGAAGCTTCTGTCCCCCTCCCTGGGTCCTCATCCACTTATCAACGGCAGACATGACGTCACTGTGTCCGAACCACCTGGTCCTTTGCACAGCTCCTCCTGGACGCGGGCCTGTGTCTCCTGAAGCCACATCCTGTCATGGAAGTGAGCGAGCACCCTTTCATCCACACGGATGTGGATTCCTGTGGCCTCTGAAGGCCCTTGGTTCCTGGGCAATTCTGACCCTCTGGAAAGCACAGCAACTCTGAGTGCAAATCCAACTGGCTCATATTTCCATCCATTTAACTCTCACCAAGGGAGTGTCCACTCCAAGCCAAGCTCTTTGTGAAGCAAGAATCTCTAAACTCTAGCAGCTTCTGTTTTACTGGGGAGGCAGAGGATAGGCAAGTAAAAAAATAGTACATCAATGAATTTGTTGCAGGGTGAAATAAGGGCTATACGTGGCATAAACAGAATTCAAAGACAAATACTGCCCAGATTTTGGTACAGGGGACAGGTGGTCAAGGGGAAACCTCTCTGTAAAAGGTTGTACCCCAGGAGAAGCCTCCAGTCCTACAAAACAGTGAATGTAAAAGCCCGGAGGCCGGGACGTGTGTCCTGGTCAAAAGCCCAGCACGGCTGAAGCTGGGCAGGTCAGGAGAGTGTTGTGAGGGCAGGAGGAGGGGAGGCAGAGTGCAGCCCAAGGGCTCCCCGGAGGCCAAGCTGAGGAGCCTGAGCGACAGGACTGGCTCATCAGGTCTGATTTGGGTTTGGAGGAGCAGGAACTGATCATACATTCCAGGACACGGAGCAAAATAAGAATAAACATGGCCCTGTAGGAGACTTGACTCTTAACAGCAAATTAGAGGGGTTTCTACTTTCACAACTTCATTTAGAGGAGGTCTTGTTACAAGTTGTTTTCTGAAGTAGAAAGACTGTCTGAAAGGTAAACTGAGGACCCCTGTCAACGGCCTATGTGCCCATGGGTGCCACAGCATCTTGTTCTAGGGTCTTGTTGATTCCGTGGACCTCACTGAAATGCATCCAGACACCCTGGCTTCGTTGGAGGAAAGGTGTGCGCAGTTCTGTTTCTCTTCCTTTGCAGCCACATTAAAATCCTTAGTCTCACTGTTTAAATTTTTAGCAGCTCTTAAGTAGATGGAAGTTATGCAGCTTCAAGTTTGTGAGTTCAGGCAAGCATTGATTTATTTCAGCAATTTGGATTTGGAATTTAATTGCCATCTTCTTTGTTCCTTCCTCTTTGTTCTCTAAGTCCACTCTCTCTCTCTCTCTCTCTCTTTCTCTCTCTCTTACACACACACACACACACACACACACACAACGTTCCATTCTCTAGCTAAGACACCTGAAGCAAAGTAAGCCTAAACCAAGCCCTGAGACTTTTAAGATAACCCCCCTGTGTTCTGCTGATAAGGTGCTCCAGCCACGGAAGGCTGCCGTGCAGTTCAGTGAAAAGGGACATTTGTACCCGTCAAAGTGTGGAGAGCCAGAAGAGAAAAATAGTGTTTGTTTCTGCAGACGAGAAGAAATTAGGAATAGAAAACCTTAACCCATTTCAAGTTTATAAACGTAATAATGAAATCAAAGACTTCTTAATCTCCTCTGAGTCGTGTTTCTGGCCTTGTAGATCTGCTGAGCTATTTGTACCAGAAGGTTCCTGGCAGAGAAACTGGGCCTAGAAGCCAGAACAGCCCAATGCCTAACACATGGAAGGGGTTCCAGTGGCCATCTATTCACTTCCATGCTGCACCTTCCATTTTACCTTCCCAACCTCACCCCACATTTACTGGGGATATAGCACTCCCTTATCAGGCACTGTCTTGGTGGAGGGACCAGATCGGTTCCCTCCTTACTCTTCGATTCAGAATGGAGGAAGGAGGTGATACAAAGATAACCTTGACTTTGGTGTGTTCTCCAGCGACTCTGAACTTGGGTGAGTGACCCACGGGTGCAGAACTGGTGGAGGCCAGTCACTGTGTCAGGAGGGGTGGTGTGCTGTCCTGATGGGGGTTCTCTGCCCTTCCTGCTTCTCTTCTCTGAGCTCTCCTGGTACCTGCTTCTCCCAGCCTGGCTCCTAGCATCTCAGGGATTCTGTGGGCCCTTAAATAGCATTCTCTTAAGTTCTCTTTTCTTTAAGTTGGCTGGAGTCCTTTTCTGTGTTTGTCATCAAAGGCCTTAATTGAGGTGATACAACCAAGGTTCCTTGAGTGAATTAATTACCAGAATGCACATAGGCCCAGATTATATCTCAAGCTTTCTGTGACTTTTTCCTTTTTTTGTCATAATCAGAGAATTGAATCTCTTTAGTAGATGGGTTTTCTTGGACTTTGGAAAAATATTGGTTTTATACAACTTCCTTTTGGAGGTAAGACTACTTTTGAAAAATAATTGGACCTACTTTTTAAATACATGCTCATCATGTGGTAGTTCGAAAACACAGATAAACAAAAAAAAAGAATATAAACATGTTCATAAACATCTTCCTATGTAATAAACATCAATTGACAAAATAATGTTTAACACCTGAATGGTACCTTATGGTAGAGATAATATAGTTGGCTAACCCCACATGGCCAGACACGGGCTATTTCCAATTATTCACTCTGACAAAAGATCCTGTAGTGGACATTCTCTTAGGTTGACCTTTGTGTATGTAGGCTTATTATCGTTAGGATGCATTTTTAGGAAGTAAAATTATTGGGCCATGTTTACATGTTTATAATGATTTTACTTACAGTAGTAGCTTTTTAAAACAGAGCTGATAAAAAAAAGAATAACCTTTTAATGTGGGGCTCTTCCACAAAAGCAAAAGAAAACCAACCAAATATAAAAGAAAAGTTTGTTTCAAGCTCTGCATTAAAGCAGCCTCATTAAAAACCACATCGCATTAACTGGGGTGTTTCAATTGACCAGCCTAACTAAATAGAGACAGATGGTGCAAAAAATATTTATTAAAAGCCCCGCCTGCTCAACACAACCAGACATTGCACTTGCTTTCTTTATCCATTCATTCATTCCGAAAAATAAAACAAAACCCAGTTCCTGAGTCCCTGCTGTGTGCCTGGCACAGTTCTAGGGGCCAGGACATAAAAAAGGAGGTAAGATCTGGTCTCCACTTTGGAGGCACTCACCATCCAGTGGGCCATGCGCACCCACAAGCCCCTTGCAAGCAGCACAGAGACCACGCTGCTCAGCAGACGATGTTGTGGGAGCAGAGCCAGCGGCCGTTCCAGCCTGTGCATTGAGCGTCCTCTCCTCTCTCGCTCCTTTTCTCCCATTAGATAGCACCGTTTGAGATGGGATACACCAAGAAACGCAAAGTTGTAGAGAACTGAAGACAGGAGTGATTAGGAACAGCCCCATGGAATCCATGAGCGCTGAAGAGAGGGGTCTGGGTGCTGGTACCCCAGGGGCCATCTGAGCACTGCTAAAGGCAAGAGAGGGGAAGAAGGTGTTTAGGGAACAGACTGCTCGAAACACAAGGTTTGGGTATAGCAAGATGGCTAAAAGTGGGGGCTACCCTGGATTGCTGTTCACGACAAGATAAGGCATTTGTGTAAGGCATTTTATTTACGGAGGTAAATAAAAGAGAGGCACTTTATTAGTTACCTATTGTTGCAACAAATTACTTAGTGGCTTAAACAGCACAAATTTATTCTCATATAGCTCTCTAGATCAGAAATCTGATATGAGTGTTGTGCTAAAACCAAGGTGTCTGCAGGGCTGCCTGCCTTCCTGGAGACTTTAGGGGACAGTGGGTTTTCCTGCTTCCCCAGCTTCTCCAGGCCGTCTGCACTCGTTGGCGTGGGACGGCTTCTTCCATCTCCAAGGTCAGCAATGGCAGGTCAGCTCCTCCTGACGCTGCGCCGCTCTGCCCTCTTCCCATACCTTTCTCTTCAACTTTTAAGGACCCTTCCAAGGGCCCACCTGTACAATCCAGGATAATCGCCCATCTCAAGGTCTTTAACTTAACCATATCTGCAAAGGTCCTTTGGCCACATAAGGGAATATATCTTCAGGTTCTTGGGATTGGAACATGGTCATCTTTGGGGAGCTGTTTGCTGCCTTCCATGGGCACCAGGGCTGTAGAGCAAGGGCTGCAGCTCTGCCTGGGGAAGGGCATGCTGACATCAGGGGGGAAGATGGGCTGGAGGGCAGAGACCAGCTAGAAGACCCTTTTGGTAATTCCAGAAAAGACAAGATCTAGTCCAGTGGGAACAGGAAGGAGAGGACAAATACCTGCAATGAAGTGGGGACAGACTCCCCAGGAACTGGCCAGTGGCTGAGTGGAGAGTGGGGAGAAGGGGAACGGTGGTGGGGTTTGTCCACGATGATTATCTTGTGCTTCCCTGAGTGTGAAGATAGTGGTGTTATTTGTTAATGGATGTGATTTAGGGATTTGGTTTAGGGCAGTCACTTAGCGGCAAATTTTAAGTATGGATCTTATCATTAGAGGAATAACAGCTTTTCCACTTCTACGTTGTGAATGGGGGATACATGCTGAATAAAAATTGGAGACGTATACAGGCCAGGGAGAGAAGTAGTGAGTGAGAAAGGCTGAGAGTGGGAGGCAGGCAGACAGGACCTGGCAAAAGACGCGGGAAATGGGAGAAAGGAGTGTCAGCAGACAGACGGAGAGAGGGCCCAGCCCCGGGTTTCTGGCCTGAATAGGCTGGTCGAGTTTAATTTCCATTTCACTTGGGTACTATTCATGATTGTAAGGTAATCATTTTTGAGACTGTCTTGGAAAATGTATCTGCTTTCAGAGGTTAATTACTGTCACAGCTTCTCTGTTCTGTCCGGCCTCCAGGCAGCCCCAGCGGTCCCCCTGGCGATGAGTTCTCCTCCCACGAGGCCCCTTCCCCTGTCCCCCCAAACTGCTGTCCTTTCACCCTGTGCAATGAATTGTTTTGTCCCTGGAATTCGAAGCCTTTGTCAGACGTGTTGAGGAAACATGTTTTGCATTCTGTCACAGTTCCTCAGGGACAATCATAGTGCCCTAGCGTCGGAAAGTCAAAGAATTGTGAGTTACGGTCCCGGTTTACAGGTGGGAGCGCTGAGGCTTGTTCGGCTCTAACCACGTGCTCAGGGTCCCAGGCAGACAGACCTGGGAGCACAGGCTGCCTCCAGACCAGGGGAGCCAACAGCGGACTAACAGACACGGGCAGCATCAGGACGGCTGCAGGCACATGCAAACGCGCCCCTGGAAAACTCGGGGGCCCCCTATCTCAGGGCGTCCGGCGTTGCTCCGCGCCCTGCGCCCAGGCGAGCACGGCCCTGGCGCGGGCTTGGGCATGAGGAGGAAGTGCGCTCCGCAGGGCGGGAGTCCCGGCGCGGGCATCGCAGGCGCCGTCCGCTTTCACGCTCACTCGGAAACGGGGGACCAGAGAGGGTGACCAACTTGCGCGAGGTCACCCAGGAGCCCGCGGGGAGCCCGGCGCTCGCCCCCTCCCGCCTTCCGAAGGGCAGGCTCGGCGGCGCAGGCGGGCCGGCCGGCCCCGAGGGAAGAGGTCCGGGCAGCCCGCCTCGGCGCCCCCCCGCGGGTGAGCCCGGCCGCGCCCGCCGCCCCCGGCGCCCTGTGCGGGCCCCTCGGGCTGGGGCTGCGGAGCCCGCGGGCCCCGGCTCGGCCGGCCGGGAAGAGGACGATGCCCTGCGCGCCCAGGTGAGCCCCGGGCCCGCGCCTCCGAGCGCCCGGCCTCCGAGCGCGGGGGCTGCGGGCGGCACCCGAGGGGGCGGCGGGGAGCGCGGCGGCGGCGGCGGCGGCGGCAGAAGCTCGGCTCGGCGGCTGGGGCGGCCGCTGCGACCTGCGGGCGCCGGGCTGCGCGCCTCCGGCAGCGGGTAGGGCGGCGGGGCGCGGGGGCCGGGACGCTGCGGGCGCACGGGGCGGGAGGCGCGGCGGCGCGCGGCCGGGGCCCGGGAGCCCCCAGCCCGGGCCTTGCCGCAGGGACGGGCCGCCTGGCGGTGCAGGACGCGCCGCCCGCGGGAGCCCCGGAGGGTCGGGGCTTCTGCCCGCACTGGTGTCCGTGAGTACTTGGGAAGCTGCTCTTCTGTTCGCCGACTACATGAGGTTGTGTGTGAAAAGGTGTGCGTGTGTGTGTGTGTGCGTGCGTGTGTGTGTGTGCGTGTGTGTGTGTGTGTGTGTGTGACACAGACACTGACACAGCCCAGGCTGTGCATCCAGAGCCGCGGACCTGGATGGGCGTGCGGACTGGGGGGGTGAGCCTGGATTCCTAACCGAGGGAGTGTGACTCCGCGCGTGTGACGGGTGTGCGTGGTCTGAGGGTACAACGGGTGGTGTGTGTGAGTGACGGTGAGTGTGTGGGCACGTTGTGCTGCGTGGAGCTTTCACGATCACTGCCAGGACTAGCGTCCTTTCACGGAATCCCAGTCCCTGTTTAAAATACGTGTGCCCCCAGCTTGCCCCCAGCGTGTGGCACTGCGCTGGCAGTTGCCTTTGGACCAAGTGGCTGTTGAATCGGAGTGGTGGCTGGCAGAGGTGGAGAAGTCAGGGGCAGGAGCTCGTCTTCCCGGAGTGGAACGTTAAGAGAAATGGTGGTTTGATTTCCCACTTGGTCCGTTTAAATGAACAAAGCGTGTCTGTTAGGGTGCGAGCTTGACATGACCCAAAGGCGGCTTTTGAGAGAAGGCAGTGAGGCAAGCCTGCCCTCCTTGCCTTGGACTGTGAAGACGGACGCCCCGGGGCAGGAAGTTGTGGGTGACCCTGAGGGGCAGTGGGCAGTGTTTGCCTAGTCCTAAGTGGGGGCTTCAGCATCAGAGAGGTAGGAGAACTTGCTGCGTGTTGCTGGTGAGCACAGGTGGCGAAGGACAAGGACACTGGTGATGGACCCAGTGCCCTGGAAACAAGGAAAAAGTCAGGAGTGGGGGTGAGATGCCTGGAGTTCTGAGGAGCAGCCCTCACCTAGGAAATGATGAGTGTGGGAAAATGGGCAAAAAGTAAAGGGGATCTGCAGCATTCTGAAATCATTTTCTAATCTTATGTTTTTTCCCCCTAATCCTGAACTCTCTGTGTTTACATCCTTTGGGGGTATGGGAAATATCTTCATCATAATTCTTATTATGTAGTTGGGTGGGTCACCATTTGGACTCCAGGAGGACACGTCAGAGCTGGCAGGGGTTTTGGGGAGCGTTCAGCGCGGTCCATGTTGAGCGGGGGGTCCCAGGGCCCGAGGACAGTGGTGCCGCTGATTTCTCAGAGTCATCTGGACTGTGCTCCTGAGGCTGGTACTTTTAGGGGCCACAGTGGCCTCATAATCAACACATTGAGTGTGTTTTCTTCTACTCGTGTTTTCTTGGACCTCCTGACCCTGTTCGTTCCTCTCATGTCCTTCCCCAACTTCACAGCCTAAGGAACAGCACCTGACACCCAGATAAGTGACCTCCGGACTTGCCCATCCGCCACCGAATCCCCACCACCACCCTCCAGCTGGGACCTGAAGCCGGCCCTTTATTCCTTCATTTCCATTCATTAGCAGCAGCCACAAGCTCATCAATAAGCAGATCGTACCCATTTCTTCCTAATAAATCTTTTCTTTTTTTTTATTGCTTTTCATCCCCACTGCCACCAACTTAATCAGGCGAGACCCGTTTTCAGGGACTTAAGAGAAAGGAACAGCTCTAGACTGTGGCCATTGAAAAAAATGCAAAACAAATGTAGAAAGAGGAAAAACTGTTGGTATTATCACCATGTGAATGATAATTTAAATGAATTCTTGGGAAGAATTTGGGCCTTCTGGTATGTCCTACACCACATCTCTTGGCCTTAAACTAAACTGAGATTTAGTTTCTTCACCTGTGAAATGTGAGGGATGATTTCAATTAAAATCTAGTTGTTAGATCATTTCTTAGGTTTCTTCTAGCTCCAAAATTCTCTGGTTGTCATTGATGTTCTTTGTTTTAGTGAGAAATATTTCTCCTGATGCCTCATGGTTACCTTTCAGTATCTAACCTTTTTTTTTTTTAATTCAATTTGTCTTTAAAGAGGGGAACTAGACAAAGGGAAAAAGGAGGAAAAGGCTACTGAGTTCAAGTTTGTGCTTGAGGGTTGACTGCACATATCTTAGAGTTGAAGGGGTCTTAGAGGCCACCCATTCCCACCTCCCATCAAGTGCCAGAAGCTTCCCTGCCGTCACCTTTCTGAAAATGGAAAAAAAAAATGTGTCAAGTCTGATTAAGATGACTTCACACAGTGTTGTAGCTCAGGGTTTCTCAAGCCTTGGTACCACTGACATTTTGAGTGAGATAATTTCATGTCGTGAGGGACTGTCCTACGATCATGCAATGTTCAGCAGCATCCCTGGCACCTATCAAATGCCAATAGCAACCACCAGTTGTGACAACCAAAAATGTCTTCCGACATTACCAGATGTCTCCTTGGGGGACAATACCACCCCCTCCCCCCACCTTTGTTGACAGCCACTGTTATAATTCCAACACATGCCTTGTGGCCTTGTACAGAAATACCTTACCACGAAGGATTCTAATGACCGGATGAACTGCACTGTCGCCAGCTACTTTTCCAGCCCCTTCCAGCTTAGCCGCCCTCACACATGTGCCTTGATTCCTCCTGGCTTCTCACCGCCTCATTGCTCTGCCTGGAAATGCTCGAGATGCTGCTGAAGGCTGAGAAGCACTTCAAAGGCAATGTAACAATAATCCTAAGAGTTTACATTAATCTCGCCCCTGTTATGTGCCAGGCCCGGTTCTAAATGCTTTACATGGACGATCTCATTTCATCTTTATGAAGAACCCTCTGAGAGAGATGCTTTTATTTCCCCGTGTTAAAGTTGAGGTAGTTCAAGCTCAGAAAGGTGGAGTAACATCCTCCAGTTCTCTTAGCTGCGAAATGGTGGGACTGGGACGGGGTGTGTGTTGTCCAACTTCGGAGTCCATTCTGAGCCCCTACAACTGAACTGCCTTCCATGACGGGGATCCTGACGGTGCAGCGTGGAGACGATCTTGAACATCACCTGGTTCAGCGGTAGCACCGAGTCCGCTTCTAGGAAGGCTAGGAGCTGTGAGGGTGGCCATTGTGTCAACTGGAATAATGTGATCTCCCTGCGTTTGGTCTTCTCTCTGCTATTCAGGTCATTCAGAAATAGGTCCGAGGCATTCTCAGAATGAGAGGGACGGTGGCAGGGTAAATCCGGGCAGAGGTGCTCAGGGAAACAAAAGGGTGGCGAAAAAGGAGCAAACGGCGGCACAGACATTTCTTTTTCCATCGGCTTCTCGCCACCATCTGCACTGTGGATATCTATTCTGTCACCACAGTTAAAGCTGCTGTGCTTTTATCGATTCCCTCTTCTGTGTTCTTCCTGGCCTGCCCTTCGTTCTTGCATTCCTCAGCTGCTTTCACACCACTGAGGTGGGGTAATGGGGTTCACCTTTGGACAGGGTCCATCTAGGTGCAGTGTGATGGCCGCCAAATAGGCGTACTGATAGGGTAAGCATGACCACCTCAGCAATGGCTGTTAAGCTTGAATATCTAAGGCAAGCCCTAAGAAGGCTGACTTTCCTCCAAGACCCTGTATCAACACATCTGTAGGTCTGGCGGCTCCTGGGAATAAATAGTAGAGCCTCGGTTTTTGCAAGCCTATAGTTTGGCTGAGACAAAAATTCTCACACTTTGGCAAGCATCAGAATCACCTGTAGGACCTGCTGAAACAGATTTCTGCTCCCCACCCTCAGAGTTTCTGACTCAGGGATTCTGGGTTGGGATCTGAGAACCTGTATTTCTCATTGGGTCTCAGGTGATGGTCATGCTGTCGGTCCAGGGACCACAGTTTGAGAACCACATGGCTAAGACTGAGGCAACTAACTAAATCTCACAACCCACCCCCTGAAATTTTAATATAGGAAGAGATCTTATTTCTAAGATAGGCATTTAGATTTAAAAGAATCAATGGATAGAGCAATATTGAAAGAACAATAGCTGTTAGGGACTAGCTGATGTCTCTCACTAAGTATCCTCTCATTTTGAATTTCAGAAAACCCTGTGCTTTTTCTCAGCTATGGTACTTTTAATTGGGTTAATTCTGATCTTCAGTCTTTGCATATTCCCTCCCTTCACCCACTCTCACTTCTCCCTCAGCTTGGATGATAATACCCCTCATTATCAACGTGTAACCCATGTAAACATTCATTTAATATCTTGTCCATTGCTGGTAAATTCTGACTGGTCCCTCTGAGGTGAAGAAAGGGGCTCCATCTGTCCTTCCAGCTTGTGTTTCCCATGTAGTTGCTTTGTATTTCTTTTCCTTTCAAATCCAATATTAGCACAGTGAAGGAACCCAGCAGAAATTCGAGTCAGAACATTTAGGTGTAACTGGTTAAATGTTTAAAATCCTAATCAGAAAGTTTCTTTTGAAACCAAATTTCAAACTCAACCCCTTCCTTCGTGACCATCAGCACCTGTTTCTTTTTGCACGACCACACGTCCTTCACCTCGACAAGGTGACTCCAGGTGCTTGCTCAGAAAGGTCCAGTGGTTCTGAAACTCGGGTGCTGTGTAAATAATGTTTACTGAATGTTCACTATGTGCTGCGTAGTAATTATTCTATCTATATGCCTGGTCTTTTTTATTTTTATACCAAACCCTGAGAGAAGTGTTTCTCTTGTTTACAGATGAGGAAAACCAAGACCTGG